ATAACTACATGAGAATCAATAATTCTGCATGAGAATAAATAATTCTACATGAGAATCAATAATTCTGCATGAGAATAAGTAATTCTGCATGAGAATCAATAACTACATGAGAATCAATAATTCTGCATGAGAATAAATAACTCTACATAAGAGTAAATAATTCTACATGACAATAAATAATTCTACATGAGAATAAGTAACTCTGCATGGGAATCAATAACTCTACATGAGAATCAATTATTCTACATGAGAATAGATAACTCTACATGAGAATAAACTCTACATGAATGGAGTTTATTTCTCTTTGGTAAAAAAATCTTCTTACCAAAGATTTTTGTTCTCACACTCACCATCCTTTTTATAGCAATTTTCAATGATCTTTGTTGTGTATTAGTACATTTTAAGGTCAGAAAAGGTAATTTTCCTGAATAAATAAATAAATAATGAACTTTATAGCAGTGGAGGGACTGCTTTGAGTCACAAAAAATTAACTCCTTCTGCTGAATTTAAAATATTCCTTCTTTTCCCCAGGAATGCTTCAATACCAGCACGTTGCTGTCCTGCTTTTGGAACGTTGTATAACACCAACACTTTTGAGACTTTCAAATCCTGTGATAAGAAAGCACTTCTGGACAAGGAAGCAAATGAGGTGAGATGTAAAATCAAATTACAGAGTGTTTTCAAATCCATTCTACCCCTTGAAGTGCTTCACACTCTGCCCCAAATTTGGGGATACTCCAGTCCTGGGTAGCCTCAGGATTTACCTTATTCTGGAAGGAAAAGTTTGGTGTTTGCTTTTTACTGTTCTCTACAAAACATTTAATTTAATTAATGATAACTAATTCTACATGGAGAACTCCATACATTTTAAGCTCTGCAATGCTCTTGGAGCTGCCAGGGACTTGAATTCTGTAGAGCACATATTTAAAATTTGTCTTCATGCCCAAAAACCAGCAGTGCCTGGTTTAAACCTCAGATTACTGCAATTTATCTGTGTGACAGAGATGGGGAAGCTCCACAGCAGCAAGAAACCTGAGAAAAAGCAAGAACAAGATGGGTGAGAGGGGCTGGTCTCTCTGCTCTGCCTGGGGAGAGGTGAAAGTCAAATTTAAGATGCTTTACTTTGACCTGGCCTTGATTCCTTTAATTAATTGCCTTGAGTAACGAAGTTTTCATGCATATTTTCACTCTAAACTAGGAATTTTTTGCATTCCTGTGGCCTTGTAATTCCCTGTTGTCCGACCTTTAAAATCCTTTTAACACAGATAATTGTATGAATAAATTCCGTTTTAAAATGTCAGTGAATGTTTATCTCCAAACTTTAAGAATTAAAGATTTTTGCAGCTGTTCTCATTTTCTCTTGGCGTTTCTCTGCCCTTTTTCTTCCTCCTTGTCCCCACAATCCATGGCAGATCTGGGAATCCATCAAATCTGGGGCTGCCCTGGAGAACCCAATGCTCCTGAACAGGTTCCTGCTGCTGACATTTGCAGTGAGTACAATAATAATAATAATTATTATTGTAATTTGTGTCTCCTGCTTGTAGTGGAAGTAGTGAAGTAGTTTCTTTTTAGGAATATTAATATATTTTCTATTCATAATAATGCTGCATTAATTTATTTTTATATTATTTTCTACACATATATAAGATCACCTGATGGCCTTACAGATATCAGCAGAAGTAGAGCAGCTGTTTCATGTTTAATTAATTGAAAACTTTACTAAATGCTCCAGCTAACAAAGCCTGAAGGATTGTACACACATTGTTTAAATCTTAAATTAAAACATTGTTTAAATCTTAAATTAAATTCTACAAGACTTCCATTCTCTTAAAAAAGACAATGGAAGTCTTGTAGAATTTTTATGATTTTCTAAAATCATTGTGAGAGAAAGATCCCTGTGGTTCCCATGGTTAAAATAATAAACCATTAATTTTAATTAGTATTATATAATTTATTTTGATATGTCTCTTTATTATCTAATTTTGCTTTTTTCTTTTTTCCCCTAGGATTTAAAGAAGTATCATTTCTATTACTGGTTTTGCTACCCTGCTCTGTGCTTCCCTGATGGAATTGAGATCACTCAGAAGCCTGTCTGTCTTGGGGACAGGTTCTCACTAAATCAGGTATTCAAAATCCTAAAGTTTGTGAATTCTGCAACACTGAGAACTCCTGTGAGCCTTAAAACTCAATATTTTTGTCACCACATCCTGAATTAATTGGAGACTAATTTATTTTAGAAACTTCACTTTTTTATTTCTATGTTTGTTTTTGTATTTACCTTTTGTTCCATGGTTTGTTTAAATTATGTCAGTTTAGGTGCAGATATGGCAAACAGTTCTTGAAGAGGTGATTATGCTAAGCTGTCTATTTTATATTTTTTTTTGAGATATATATGTTAAGCTGTATATAAAAATGAATATTAACATGTGAAAATGAATATTATAAAAATGAATAAAATATATTAAAATATATTTATATATTTAAATATTAATATATATATATTTAAATATTTTATATAATTTTATATATTTATATAGTATATATTTTATATATTTTAATATACATTTTATATATTTATATATTAAATATTTAAATATTTATAATGTTTATAAAAATAAAAATGTTTGAGATATATATGTTAAGCTGTATATAAAAATGAATATTAACAAGCTTTGGTTTTGAAACTCATTTAAAAAAACCGTTATAAAGGGGGATCTCCTGAGTAAGGCAACTCATTAAAATTACAAAATTGTTAATAAAGTACATGTTTAAATAAGAAAATAAGTTAATTTTTAAATTTTTTTATGAAAAAAATTAAACAAATTTTAGTTTCTTTCATATTCCAGTGCAGAATTGATAAAAGTGTTGGTTCAGTTGTGTTTGCACTTTCAGATCCAAGCCCTGCAGAAAGCCTACGATGACCTCTGCCAGGAGGAGGGGGTGACAGCCCTGCCTTATTTTTTAATCAAGTATCATGATAATTCTGTCATGATATCCCTGCTGAAAAAGTGGGATGGCTTCTTTCAAGACCAAGGAGAAAAGGTAATGAGAATTTTATATCATTTTATATAATTAAATGTTTAATCTGTGAAGGGTTTGAGGCTTCAACACTGAGCTGGGCATGGTGGTTGTGTCCTGAGGGTGGCTGTAAAGTGATTTTTGTGCTGTTTTCCCTTTGATTTGTTCTCTTGCTGGCCTATGCCCTTTCACTTTCTAATCCTCCCAAAATAAGCAGAATTTTGGGTTGGGAGCAAGGCTCAGTTGTTGGCCTTCCCTCCTAAATGTGTTTTTAAAGTAACAAAAATCCATTTACTGCTGGGAACATCCAGTGTCCCTGAAGAGGCCAAACTGAAGAAATCTCAAAGCTGTGGCAAAAAACTTGAGGAAAACCTGGTGTGACCATGGATTAAATATTTATAAATATGCAAAATGTGTCTGTAGGCCAGAAGTTTTAAATAAAAATGCCAAATACCCTTTGCCTGACTGTGGATGGAGGAGTTCTCAATTGAATAATTTCATTTGCAGGTGACAGTTGGAGTTTATGATCCTTGTAATTTATCCCAGTATCCAGGATGGCCACTGAGAAACTTCCTGATCCTGGCAGCCCACAAATGGTACCTGTTCTATTCTTTCCCACCAAGATTATTTATTGGTTG